GTTGTTAATCCTCTGCAGAGCATTTTTTCATCTCAAACATTGGAGTCTCCATATTCAGAAGTTCAGTTTGGGTTTTTAAAATATCCTCTATGTTTCTACATGATGTGTTCCACATTTACTCTATTTTTAACATATAAAATACATTTATAACTACCTTCTTAATGTTCTTTTTACTAACATAATCATCTGTGTGATTTATGTGTGTGTTCATAGTGATTATATCCTCACGATATATTATATTTCCTGTTTCTTTGTATGCCTGGTAATCTTTGATTGAATGCCAGACAATGTGAATGAACTTGTCTTGTTGATTGCTGGACATTTTTGTATTCCTATAATCTTCTTGAGCATTGTTCTATGATTCACTTGAGTTATTTCAGTCATCTCTGATGCTTTTTATACATCTTTGTAAGGCAGGGCAAGGGCAGGCTTTGTCTAAGGCTGACTTTGCCCCAGTCAAAGGTATTCTGAGGCAATACCTTTCTGAATACTCTACCCAGTGTTCCATTAATTAAGAGATTTTCCACTCTGGATGGTAGAAACATGAACTATTCCCTGTATGAACTTCTGGAGTTGTTCCTCTACTTCTTTGGAATGTTTCTTCCTTGGCCTTGGGTATGTTACTTATTATCATGTGCTGATTGGCACTCAGCTGAAGATTTAAGGGGGCCCCTTTACTGACACCCCATCTTTGTATACAGGTCTTTTCTCTCCAGTACTCTGTGAACTCTAGCTCCTTTGCCTCCCTCAAATTCCCACCTTCACCACCTCAACTCACAGAGACTGCTGCTGGCCTCCACCAGGGTCTGCTCTCTCTGTGCTCTGAAAATTCTGTCCAAGCTGGGAAAATCATAGGCTCACATCATTTTTTCCCATCTCCAGGGATCCCTGTCCTATATTGCCTGATGGGCAATGTCTGAAACCATTTTTTTTACATATTTTTCTGGAATTTTAGTTGTTTCATGCAAGAAAGGTAAATCCAGTCTTGGTTATTCTATTTTGGTCAAAAATCAGGTGTTGCTATATTTGATGATAGGGGAAACTTGAACATATTCATAAAGGAAGAAAGGCTGAGTATAAAGTGGAAATTTAATATTGAAGAAAGAAAAGAAGAAAATTAATGGATTAATTTCCTACAGAAAGTACAAAAGAGAAATAATGAAAAGCTGAGATGGGGCTCAACTTTGCATAGGGAAAGGAACACTTCTTGTGAAACAAGAAGCAGGACAGTAGCAACGAGGAAGAAAGAAATTTAGATGCAGAGTTCATTTGGTCAGCTGATAGTACTTGAGCTCCTATTACGTAATGTGAATAAAGCTCCGTTATTTCCTCCAATGAGGAGGAGAGGAGTGAGAGAGTGAGGTGTGATTCCCAGCAGTTTCTCCCATGCCTCCAAAAACCTTCTTTTCAAATTCTCTCCCTCCTGAGCTTTTCATATTCTTGAAAGAAGGAAGGGGTTTATAGATTGTCTAATGAGTTCTCAATCAACCCACTTTAAAGCTTCCCAGTGGTCTGATTCACAGCTCGCGTTTGTATACAATACATCTATTACTTCCTGGTGTCTCCACTGAACTTTTCAATGTAATATCCTGTTAGACAACACTAACTGAGGCACAGGAGACAAGTAGGAATACAGTTTCAATTCAGTGAAGTAAATGCTTTATGTGGAATATGCACAACAGTTGTGGAAACACATTGGGTAGGAGGGGGCCCTACATTATCTTGAATGGGCACACAAAGGCTCCCAGAAATGACTGTCTCTATGGCCCAAGGAATTATCCAGGAAATACGTGTGGGGTAAGGGGATGGTAAGTAGAAAGGATGTTCCACTATAAGGAAGAGAACGTGTAAAGCTTGGAGGCAGGAGAGAGTTACTGGAACTGTAGGAGAATCAGCAGGGCTGGTGAGGTAGGAAAGCTCCTCAGAAGCCACACCCCAGAAATACCTTGAATGCACTCTAGGTATTTGGAACTGATGTTTGGAACTGATCCTGAGAAAAGTAAGGTATCCCAGAGAAGTTTTAAGTAGAGGAATGATTGTGATCACTTTTGTGTTTAGAAATCATTCTGATGGCATTGCAGAGAATACAAAGGAAAGAAATTTACTGTGAGAAGGGATAGTTCCTCTGGTAGAGTGAGAACAGTGGGAATGGAAAGAAGTGGACATTTCCTAAAGAATAAAATGATACACCTGCCAGAATCTGGTAACTGATCAAACATGTGGCATGAGGAGGAGGTACTAAGGGAAACACCCAGATGTTTGTCTTGGATAACTGGATCGATGACAATGTTTTCAATGAAATAAGTATTACGGGTTCGTTGTCTTAAAACTTCTTATAAAGTAAGAGAAAGTAGGGAAGGTTGAAGCAGTCTAAATTTGTTTTCATTCATTGAATATATTTTCTTCTTGTGCCAGGCACAAAGATGGAGAAAGCAAAAGAAGCTATGGCACAATAACTGAGAGAAATGGGACTGGGTGGGAGATGGGAAGAGGATAGAGGAAAATGACAACCAGGAATCCCTAAGGCCCAGCCAAGGTCAGATAGCATGAGTTGGTGGTGGAACCAAGAGTCTTGGTTGCGATGTTCTTTCAGCAACTCTGGGCAGTGTGACAGAAGAATCAGAGAGGGCAGATGTAGTTTGTGGGATGAACCCAAGTTGAAGAACATGAAACAGTGAGGTAAGTTTACAATCAAGTACAAGATGGAAAGCAACAGGTGGGACTAATACAAGCATCACTAAATTGTCTTCCCACAGCACAGGCTAGATAGGGAAGCCAGAAAATCCAGAATGGCACCAATGAGAGAAGAAGGGGCAGGGAGAAGACTGGAGGCCAACAAATCAAATATGAAAGAGAGAGAGCGACAAATAGGAGATAGTCATCAGAGAAAATGTCAGCATCCAAGGAAATGGCAGAAGCAAAATTCCCAGTAATAAGGTGTGTCCAGATGTGATTTCACCCCCTCAAAAGTAGCAAGTGGTTGTGAGGCAAAATTGTTGAAAAGTGTCATTAATATGAACATTGACCGTCCAACAAATAGGGGTCCAAAGGAAATCTATGAGCAAGGTAAAAGTCACACTGGTAGTCAGTAAACCACAGGAACAAGATGGGGAAAGAGCAGAAAGGTGAAACTATTAAAAGCTCATAGTTAGTTTTCTGGAAAGAGACTGAGGTAGGTGGAGTCGGGTGGGGACGAGTGCCTTTGATTCCAGAGGTGTTGCCTCTATTAGAAGAAAACTGGTATTATCAGAGTAACTAGGTGTCAGTAGTGATCATGAGAGGGGAAAACCATTCTAGAAAAGGATTGATTTTCAAGCACATAATGTTACAATAGAAAAGGACTGAATGACAATCTTTTTCATTCCACTGGTCATTGTGGAAGCAGGTAGGACAGGCAAAGCAGGGATGGCCAGGGATGAATGGTGTATAGCAAGGTGTGTGCTGGAAGAGACATAGTGAAACGTTTTCTCCTGCGTGGCAGTTTTTAACACAAGCTCACTTGAGGCTCTTGTGAGTCATTAGCACTTCTGGAAACTCCAAGGTCAACTTAAGGTCATTTGCTAGAATATTTGGGGCATATCACAGTCACTGATCATCTCCATGAATTCTTTGAAGTAGTCTTCCCTTTGAACACTATTAAAGTGCTTATTGAGAACTCTTAGGCAGGAAGTAAAATTTAAAAAAATAGAAAGATCATCCCCTGCTCATCAGGATCTGAACGCAGAAAGGGTTCATGGATCAAACAAATCAATGTAGAAAACTTTAAATTTCCAATTAAGTAAATGTCATACATTAAATACCAGAAAGTGGTGACTAAGAGGTAGAGACGATAGGAGTTGTATAACAAAGGTTTCACTCACACCCTGTTTTGTGGTTTTTACCCCATGCCACCACCACACCTGTGAGTTTCGCTTATTAAAATAATAAAGAGGTAGAGTAACTAAAACCTGCTGATCAGTACACAGAGCTAAACGTAATTCCTTAGAGACTAAACCTGACAGACAAGATCAGGATTCAATGTGGAAAATGTCTGATGGTGTGAGCTAATATATTTTCCAGCCTGGTCTACAGGTGTGTGCTGATGTGTGTAGTTTTGCTCATCCCCAGCACATCTTTGAGAACATTGAGCTCATCTCCTTTATTTCACCCACAAAATGTTGACATTAAAACCAAGAAAAAAATGGGGATATATGGGGATCTACTGGAGCACAGGGATTTAAGAGGCAAGAGCAAGAAGTTTCAGACTAGTGAAATCAATAAAGTTCTATGTAGAGAATATATCTATGCAAACTCCTGCGTCCATTGAGCAGTAATATTTGTAGTGTGGAAAAATTAGGAATATAGCTGTCATCGTATCAGCTACCACTTAAGTAGCACTTACTATACACTAAACTCTTCATGTTTTATCATGGAATCCGCACATGTATAAGAGGTAGACACGCTCACGCCCACTTCACAGACAAGGGCACCCCCAGCGCGCAAAGCCTCGGTTACTTGCCCGGGATCCACCGCCAATGGTACTGGAGGGGACTCATCTGACTCGGTTGCTGCCCGGGTGGCGTTTTAAAAATGCCACTAGAGACCCATTTAAAACATATACACCCCACTTTTTAGGTATGACTGGTGACCTTGATTTTACCTACTGAGTCACAGCCCCCAAGACCTGTGTTCCTGTCAAATTGAGGAGAGAGGGCGAGGGCGGGCTGTGAGAGTTGCGGGGGAAAACAGGCAGAGAGAACAGGTGGAACCTAAGAGGGACACAAGGTAAAAATGAAGAGCAGAGCTGTGGGGCCCGGCCTTGGGGACGCTCCAGAGAGCACTGGGCGAGGAGAGCCAAGCAGGAAGGGCCGCGCCAGCCAGGCGGTCTCACCTGTGCACGTGACCAGCGCGGGCGCCAGGGCGGAGGCGCGCTCACCTGGGCCCACGTGACGGGGCGGGGCGTCGCCAGCCGGAGCCCGAGTGGCCACGCCCCCTCCCGCGCGGCGCACCCGGACCCCGCAGACCCGAGCGGCGGCGGCGGGAACCCGGGAGGCGGAGGCGGGAGGCGGGAGGCGGCGGCGGAGCGCGGAGACACAGCAGCGGCAGCGGCAGCATGTCGGCCGGCGGAGCGTCAGTCCCGCCGCCCCCGAACCCCGCCGTGTCCTTCCCGGCGCCCCGGGTCACCCTGCCTGCCGGCCCCGACTTCCTGCGGACCTACTCGGGCGCCTTCGTCTGCCTGGAGATTGTAAGTGGGGTGGCCTCGGCGAGGGTCGCGCCCGGGAGCGACGACCAGCAGCGGCATCCTTGTCCCCCAGCTGGCTCCCTCTGCTCCCGCTGGCAGCCTCCCTCCCTTCGACCTGGCCTTTTCCTGCGCCCCCTCCCGGGGTCCTCCCCATGCCTGGCGCAGCCGCCCGGCCCTCTCGCCTGGCACCTGTTACGCTGGCACCTGCTCCCTAGCCGGCGACGGAAATGGCCCTGGGAGAGCCAGCAGCAACTAGGCAGGGCCGAGGATTGGGGACTTTGGTGGGAGAAGGGTGTTTGGGCTTGGAGCAGCCTTAAGAGACAGGACTTGGCCAGGGGCTGTGCTTGTCTAGAGCAATCTCGGGCGCTCTCGGCCTCGCCTATTGCTAACCTGCCATTTTGTTGGGTGGTGCAAAGGTGTAGCCGATGACTGGGTGACCGGGAGGCTGCCAGGCTGTGGAAAGCGGAGGCGGAAGGCACCAGGAAGAGGAGGAGGGCTGAAGACTTGAGCATATTTTTTTTCTCCATTCACCCTTGCCATCATTAGTGCCCTTTGGATTGGGGAGAGGAGCTGGGCTCAGGAGGCAGGGCAGGGAGCAAGGTATGTATGCTGTCCTTGGCAGGTTCTAAACCAGTGGGTATGAGAATGGTGGCGCAAAGGTGGCTGTCACCTTCTCTGCCTGCCTTTGCACCTCCTCCTTTCCTAGGATACCTCTACAACTCGAGACCTTCTCAGCACACTTTTTTGGGCCCAAGTAAAGGTGAGGTTACCTGGCCTGGCCTGCAACCATTTTGGGCTAGACACGAACTTTTTAAAAGAATCCGTGGAGTTGGAAGCTTTTGAAGCTCACTGTGGACAAGGGGAAAATGGGCAAATATGAATTGGGCAACCTGAGATTGCATCATACTCTGTGAATGACAAATAAAAAGTGAAATTCTAGAGAGTTAGTACCTTTCCTGTAGGCTGGTTTTGTTTGCTTGGTTTGGGGTTTTCATCTTTCCCCTCACCCTCTCCTTTGAGTTTACGTAACCTGGATTTCGGTCAGTTTGGTTTCACTTTTGTGCTTGTGGGGCTGGAACACCTTGTAAGCATTGGTTTTCTGCCCTATTATGCTCAGGTGGCCAAGCCACCCTAAGTTAAGTTTAGCTCAGATTTGAATCTGAAAGAGGAAACGCAAGTGAGTTCCAGGCTATGACATCAGTAATCAGATCATGACTGTGAGGCTGGTTTGAGTTCAAGCCCAGTTAAGCATCTGAGTGCTTGGGATGAGGTGCAGACATCCATGTGGGAAGAGCAGAGAGAGGATGGCATTGGGCCGGCTGCAGTGCTGTGGGAGGGAGACTTGTTTAGAACAGGAAGATCTGGGAAGAAAGATTTCATAGGTTCTGGGCTGCTTTAGTTCTGTGTTCCCCAAGCTCCAGTTTTTGCCTACCTCTTTTAGAAGTTTTTACCATATCATGTCCGCATTCCACCTGTACTACAATTTATAGACTATTCACTTTCTAAACTTCATTGCCTACCTTAGCCTCATCTTAAGCAATAATATACATGACATCTCAGATTTGATATTCTGGTTATATTTTTCTAATATTTATTAAAATGTGTATTTTATATGTATGTATGTAAATATATATGTATATATACATGGATTATATGCAAAGAAGGCTTATTTATGTGCCGTTAAATCAAATACCATCTCAAGAACCACCTGTGGTCATGTCATACTTTTGGAAAACATGGCCTAATTCTGAGGGAAAAAAAAGTAGAAGGTGATTTATTGAATTTTCTCCTCTCCCTCGCCCCGTATCTCTTTTTTATCTTGCCCAGTGGCTGGTTCTGAACTCTTGTTATACTTAAAAACCTGGGCAGCTTTTAAAAATACTGTTGCCAGCCCAGACTAATTAAATCAGACTCTCTGAGGAATGCCCTGAGTCTGCTAGTTTATTTATTTTTTTAAGCTTCCCTGGATATTCTCATATACATTCATAGCTGGAAACCACTGTAGAGAAGACATCTCTTCTCTTGCAAGTGTGAATTTTCTCTGTCTGCTAAAATTTCTACCACTCCTCACACTAGCAGGGATCCTAGACTCACAAAAGTGTCCAGTCTATTCCTTTTATCTCTTCATTTCCTCTGGCTTCTTACCCCCTGAAACATGTCTTAGACTTTTATCTAGATAGAACAGCATCACTTCCAAAAGCATTTTAGTTTGCTTTTCACTTTCTATGGTTGAACAGCTTGTTAGGTTTAAAAGTTAGGTGTCTGTTATCTCTTTTACCTGAATATGAACCTCCATTAAAAAGGACAAAGGTGTTCTATTCAAAATAGTGACCTTAGAGAAACAAGAGATCACATCGGAGTCAAACTATTTAGCTCCTTGGTGACTCTCATTCTTCTGGACTGTTCAGAGATACTGGAGTATATGCTTTAAGAGAGCAGGAGTCAAAGCTGCCTTTTTACCCCTGTATCTAAAATGCCCACTTTGAGTGGATGCATAGGTAGGGGCTAAGTAAACATTTTTGAAGCACCTTTACTCCTAGATTCTCAATTTCTCTCTGATTTTCTGATTCCTTTAAGATGTTCAGTCTGCCATGGCTCCTCTTCAGAAATCTCTCACCCTGTAAATTAAATGTAAGAATTCCCAGGTACAATCTTAAATGCTAGGTGATCTCCATTCTGGGGACCTCTGGCAGTATTTCTAGATATCCCCAAACTCTTCCTTAGTTTTGACCTTCTATTCAAATCCATTTATCTTTAAGATTTCTTCATTTATGTCCTGTTGCCTCCGAAACTTAACATGTGAAAACTGTACCTTATGAAGATGGATTGAGCTATCAATAGTTGACTAAGCTAATGTGGGACCATGGTCTTGGAGTTCAATTCTCATACTAACCATTTAACTTTGCTCAAAGAATTCAGTCCCAATTCCCCTTAATGGACTCCATTCACAGTCTCACAGACATAGGCCATCTGTTAGGGAGATAACATGAAAGATATAAATAGTGCCAGCCTATCAGCAGCAGGTAAAGCATTATAGCACTGGCTTCATAGGTGGAGAATATTACAACTTCACATGCATAGTGTGTTTTTTTGAGATAGGCGTGTTCCATTCATGGATACCTAAATTGTCAATCCATTGGTTTTTGGCCTCAGCTGTACTTACCAATGCATGCTTGCCACAAAGTGTTTAATACAAAGTTAGTATTGCAAAGTGAAGTCTTTTAGTTTAGGATGGAAAACATCACCTTTAAAAATTCTCATTTTCAAAATCTCTCCATGTTTCCTGACTGAAAATTTTCTAAATCATTCATCAGGTGTTTATTGAATGCCTACTGTATGCCAGACACTCTTTTGGGAACAATGTTTAGCCCCTTCCTCACTTGAAAGACCTTATAACCTATAATTGAAAAGATATGCACAAAAATAACTACCTTTCAGGGAGGAAAAAGTATGGGAAGCGAACTACAAACTAGAGCATTTTCCGGATGGCTCTATCTATTTTTTAAAAAATGACTTTTCAGCATCTGGGCTGAACAAGATATTTAGGGTCACTGTCCTCAATGAGATTACTTTGTAAAAGGCACAGAAAAAGATTGAATGTAACAGTATTAATCATGTAAAAGAATGAAGGTCATTATTGACTTCATTGTATATTATTTTACAGTTTTAGTTTTTAGGAAACTATATCCCTCAAGTTATTCACATTTCTCTCTTTCTCTTTTTGAGGCAGGATCTCACTCTATTACCTGGGCTGGAGTGCAGTGGTGTCATCATAGCTCACTGCAACCTCAAACTCCTGGGCTCACATTGATCCTCCTGCCTCAGCCTCTCAAGTAGTAGGGTCTGTAGGTGTATACTACCACACCTGGCTAATTTTTATATTTTTTGTAGAGATGGGGGGTCTCACCATGTTACTCAGGCTGGTCTTGAACTCCTGACCTCAAGCAGTCCTCCTGTCTTGGCCTCCCAAAGTGCTGGGATTACAGGTGCAAGCCACTGTGCCCACCCCACATTTCTCTTTATGGGAGATATTATAGGACTCTTTTTCACATACTTTCAACCATGGCATTTGGCATGCCACAATACTTTTCATTTATTTAACTTATAATTAAGAAGGTACTGTGCATCAGGCATTATTTTATGTCCTGGGAATAGAATAATTAAGATAGTCCCTGCCCTTAAAAGAAATTACTGTTTGGTAGAACATAAAGTCAAGAAAGAATTACAGTGCTATGTATAAAGTGCTGAAGTAGGGTTATGAACAGTATTGTGGAAAAGCAGGATAGAGTACATCTGCCTACTGGAGAGGCCGGGTCAGGCAGCTTTGATGGGATGGTGACATTTGAGTTTAGCCTTAAATGATGAGCAGTAATTCTATAGAAAGTGGGAAAGAGAATTCCAGGTAGAAACAAGGGCATGTGCAAACCCCAGGGGCAAGAAAGACCACAGCATAGAAATTTTAACTGTTAGTTTTTTGACATGACACATGGAAAGGTGACAGGAGAAGGAGGGAAAAGAACAGATAGGGCGCAGGTTGTGGTTTGCTGAGAAATATGAGGCCAAGGCATGGAATTTATTCTGTCTGTGCCAGGGAGCTGCTGGAGGATGGGAGTAAACTTGGTCAGAAATCTTTGAGCAGTGAAGTTTGGTTGTAAAACAGAGAGATTAAAGGCAGGGAGATCAGTTAGGGAGCTAATTGCAATAGTTTAGATAAGGGATGATGAGATCCTGAACTAGGGCCAAGGAAAGAAATATGAAAAGAAGAGAGGAAGACTTGAGGTTTAAGAGGTCAACCAAATATGCAAAGTTTGGCATGCCCTGAAATGGTGCTAGACTAAACTTTCATATGTAACTCGGAGCAATTATGCCAGAAAAGCAAATGAAAGGATGACGGTGAGGGAGGAGTTGTGGAGAAGACAGGTGCAATCGTGCAGATGAATCTATAGAAGGGACTTCAGGTTATTTTCAAAGGTTTTGACTCTAGACTGACTAACACATATGTG